TTCTAATTTATTAGGGCCTCATAGTTTCATTCTCTCATTTGCATCCAGCACGTCCTGAAGAGCTGATACACATATCACACACATAATGGTAACTCATTACCCATCAGAGCAACCCTGGGAGGTGAAGGCACTGTTGTTATTGGTGAAGACCAATTATCATTGTTTCTTGATGGAATTCACCTGCCCAAGGATGTTTTAAGAATACAGCCTGCCATTAGGGGCAGAGCAGGGTGGGGGCGGAATAGTAGCTTTTACAAATGGACAACCTCAGCGATGGTCATGAGTTGAGTTGGAAACCTGCCAGACTTGGCTGGAGACCTTCAGTAGGAAAAATCTCTCTTAAATTTCAAATCTGTTACTTTTTTTTTTTTTTTTTTTTTTTTTTTGGGTCGCGGGGCCCCTCCCCGTTGTGGCCTCTCCCGTTGCGGAGCGCAGCGCAGGCCCAGCGGCCATGGCTCACGGGCCCAGCCGCTCCGCGGCACGTGGGATCTTCCCGGACCGGGGCACGAACCCGCGTCCCCTGCACCAGCAGGCGGACTCTCAACCACTGCGCCACCAGGGAAGCCCTCAAATCTGTCACTTTTGAAGAGCGATCCTGGTGTGCAGATTGAAAGGGGCTTTCGGAGAATGTTGGGGACTCTTTAATCTACAGTTAAGACTTTTGGTAACAGCCTCTTCTTCCCCATGGACTGTGGTGCAGGCTTCCCTTGCCTGAGGGCCACCCTGGGGGATCCCATGGAATTTGATGCCCCTTGTTTTCAGGACATATCCAACGACGGCGATGCGCCCCCTGCAGCAGCCGCGGTGGCAGATGGTGCCCACCTCCTGGGCTTCTCGGATGAGATCCTCCTGCACATCCTGAGCCACGTCCCCAGCATAGACTTGATTCTGAACGTCCGGCACACCTGCCGGAAGCTCGCAGCGCTGTGCCTGGACAAGAGCCTCACCCACACGGTGCTGCTGCAGAAGGACTATGAGGTGAGGGGCTTGGGGGCGGCGCTTGGCATGTGGGGGGCAGAGATGGGGAACAACCGAGGCGCCCGACTGAGGCCCCGCACAGCCTGGCAGTGGTGGGGCACTTGCAGGGACCCAAAAGTGCAGGTAGTGTGCCATCTGGGCCAGAGCACAGGTAGAGCAGGCGCTCTTCTGGAAGGGTCTTGGGCCTTGGCACTGGGCCAGGAGGGAGACTGACTTCCTGGTAGATAGGTACCCAGGAGTGGACATGCGGGCCCACTGTCAGTGTTGGACTTTCCTGTGGAGTTAAGCACAGTTGGAGGCACCACCTCTCCCCACCAGCAGCATCCGAGAGTTCTGGTTGCTCTGCATCCTGGTCAACACTTGGTGTTGTCAGTCTTTTCAGTTTAGCCATTCTGATGCATGGGAGGTGGTATCTCATTGTAGTTTTAACTTGTATTCTCTGGTGGAGGATGCTGTCGATTATGCCTTCATCAGGTGTGTGGGCCATTTGTGTATCTTCTCAGAAGTGTCTGTGCAAGGCTTTTGCCCGTTCACTATTGTCTATCTTTTTCTTAGTGAGTTTTGGGAATTCCATATATATTCTGGTACAAGTCCTTTGTGGGATGTGTTGTGAATATTTTCTCTTATAGTCTGTGGCTTGCTGTTTCATTTTGGTTAATAGTGTCTTTTGAAGAGCATAAGTTTTTAATTTTGGTGAGGTCCAATTTATTGAATTTTTGAGTTCATGCTTTTTGTATTCCGTTGAAGAAATCTTTGTGAAACCTGAGGTCATGAAGATTTTCTCCTATGTTGCCTTCTCTCTTCTTTTTTTTCTTAACTTTTTAGAAAATTTTAATTTATTTTTTTGGCTGTGTTGGGTCTTTGTTGCTGCACGCGGGCTTTTCTCTAGTTGCGGCGAGCGGGGGCTACTCTTCATTGTGGTGCACGGGCTTCTCTTGTTGCGGAGCACAGGCTCTAGGTGCGCAGGCTTCAGTAGTTGTGGCTTGCGGGCTTAGTTGCTCCGTGGCATGTGGGAATCTTCCCGGACCAGGGCTCTAACCTGTGTCCTCTGCACTGGCAGGCGGATTCCTAACCACTGCGCCACCAGGTTAGTCCCCTAACCACTTTTTTTTTTTTTTT